AAAGAGGTCAAAACAAAGTGGAAAGTTTTGCTTTCAGAAATATATGTGGACAGAGCAGTAGGGGTATGGAAGTTCCCCTTGAGACAACTTTCGTAATCTAGCAACAGAATGTCAAAAATGTAGGATTGAAAGTGTTATAATCTTTAACACAAAAAACGAAACTTTCAACATCATGGACAAGCGTTAACAGTTGACTACTTACACTCACAGAATAGTGAAGGCTGTATAATCAAAATCATTATTATGGCACTGTCACATCTAGCCAGTCAGCTAGGGTTGCAGTCAGAGTTTGGAGTGAGACAAGATGGTGAGTAAAAACAGACTCAGAGAAAAAGGCAAGCCAGCTGTGGAGCCAAGAAAAAAAATGTTTTTTAAAGTCTGTTTTGGCAATCTGTAAAATAAAACACTGATACAGATAATCCAACGTATGTACCCCCACTGCCTCTGCAAAAAACAGAGTTGGTGGAAACAGGCCCTAACTCTGCATGTGCCTAAAAATTAGCTTACTTCATTACTCACATAAAACCAAACACTTTCTTTAAAGGAGTAAAACAAGGTGAACAGGATCAAGTGGAGAAACACCTAATGGACTTTTTTTGTGCTGTCACTGTCAGACCCTGTTTTGTGCTTTTTTTTGTCATAGCCTATGTTTTTTTGTTTGTTTCTCTTATGTACAAACCGACAACAGGTTGGCCAGAGCTCTATCAGTGAACTAATGTGATCCTATTTTGTCCACTACTCTGTGCATGCATGGTGCGTGTGTGTGTAGATCTGTATCCATGATTAATATCTATGAAAGTGAAGTAATGTTAAGTTTAGCTCTATTGGGTTCATTTATGGTCCTGAAAGCTTGCACTGAGCTCCACCAACCAGAGATAAATTAGTTAGTACACAGAGTCTGACAATTCACTAAAGTCCTTGTCACTCTGGTCACAGAAAATGCTGCGTGACTGAGACTCTCAATATCATTGAATATCAATATCAAGCAGGACACAGATTCATTGAGATAAAGTTATTTTACAGGCCTACTGCACACCAGGACACTCCTGATCTCCAGCATCTGACTGCAGTAGGATATCTCAACCTAATGTAGGTCAAACAGCAGGCCTCCTACATGCTAACATTGATGTAAATGTTCCCATACATTCCTGCACAGAAAACGACTGTGGCAGCACCTCCACAGTGGTTACCCCCAGTGTTTAATTCTCGTATTTGGGGCAGTGGGTGAAGTCATAGTCAGGAGGATCCCTGCTGTCTGCTGCTTAGACCTCCTACTTATGATTCTTTCATGTTTTTAATTCAGAAGAAAAGCATCATGAATAGATAAATGAGCCAAAGTGGATGAATAATTTAGTGAGCCAAGGAACACAGAGTAAACAGTGTGTCCTTTATTTTGTTTCTTCTTAATTAACAGTCTTGACCTGTTTTGAGATCATTTTTGATATAGTTTGATCATTTTATCCTCAAATGAAAAACGGAGTGAGAGAGACTGTCTTGAAAACTGTCTCCAACTCTCTGTAAATCTGCAGGTAAAGAAAAGAAACCTGGAAAATGTGAGAAAGTAAAGAGGAGGCCTGCTAGAGAGAGTAATCTGAAAGCCTCTCAATCAGAAGAGAAAGTGCAAAGGATCAGTGAGGTCAGCTGAGCAGATCAGATATTTCAGACTTTATGGAGGGCTCTGGTGTGACATATAAAAACAGTACATAAAGACGATATTAGCAGCCATAAAAAGTCAGACACAAGTGGTGTTTTACGATCCGGTTCATCTCCTGAGGAGCCTCTCTGAGCCAGCCAGCGCCAGGGGACTGATTTACTCATCACACAGGGGGGTCATATTTAGACGTGGCACGATGCAGTAAAGCTGGCGGGGCAAAAGATGACCCAGACGGAGGGAGAGAGGAGCACGTAGGCTCAGTGGTTAACCTCCTGCCATTAAAGCAGAGGTGATTTCTGACCACAGGCCAGGGGACAATGGACTGTACCGCACTAATAACACACCCTGACACTGATAATAGGAGCTGTGCTCACTCTTTATGAGGACCAACAGTCGTTTGCACATCTATCTTTAACAGTTTGTACCTGTAGTCTGAATAAAAGGCTCTTCATGTGTGGTCTCTGCACCAAATGGGCAATTAAAATATAAATGTGTGAATAAATCTGCTCCAATGACGGAAAAGAAGGACAGACTGAGGACATGAGTCAGTGTGATGGTAAATATCTCAACTTTAATGCATTCTTATGTCTGTGTTCTTACTATACCTGCACAGATGTCACATTTTAGTACCTCAAAGTAAAACAAAAGATGAAATAGTTTCATGTCCATGTTATGTAAAGGACTGAAAACCAAGGACCGCCATGAAATCTGATACTAACCTTAAAGCAAACAAAATGGAAAAAGTTTTACACACTGAAATGATATTAATGTGTGTTTAAATTCTTTAATCACTCTCTTTAGTTTGACCAACAGTAATATTGAGGTATGATTTAGTTGTAGTGAAAGAGATTTTTTTTACACACATCACTCTGAAGAAATGTATGGTGGCCCTAAAGCTCAAATGCACAAATATTTTACAAATATAAAGATCATTTTTATTATGCTGCTGAAATGGTATTGACATGCCATAAACCAAAAAAAAAATCATCAAATGTTAGTAAGTTGTACAAATCTCAAAAAAAATTTAATAAATGCTGAAATACAAAATATAAAACAAAAAGACATGAAAAATATTCAACAGACAACAAAAAACTTCAACAAACTTAAAAAAAACCCATTTAATTAGAACAAAAACAATTAATTTTACAAAAGATATTTCAAGCTTTTTTTTCATTGAAATTTTTGTACGTTTATTGTTTTCAAATTTTTGTACAAATACTTCTTGTTTCAAGAACATTCTTCTGAGCTCTGTAAAATGCTTTTGCCACTCATCTTTTTTTTTTGCATTTATTTATTATTTAGTTTCTTTTTAAATTCATTTATTCAAAATGTCTTCTGGGTTTCATAATTTTTTATAGATTTTGTAAAATAGTTTTGCATTACTCCAATTATTTTTGTATTCTGTTAAGTGTTTTTGCATTTCGTTAAAAGTTTTTGCATTTCATAATCATGATGATTTTGTATGTTTGTGCGATTGACCTCAAGAGCCATACTAAAACTGTCTACTCTGAAGCTGCTGAAAAGTAAATGAACTATATATTTATAGTTTTACGTATAATTTTTTTTCATGACTATCATACAATAGACATGGTTCGAGCTTTCCCTTCAAAGGGCCAAGGGTTCTCTATTTTATTAGCCTTTAACTTTTTACACAGACTTTAAAAGCTGGATGTAGAAGGTGTAGAAATAAAGGTGTAGAAAACAGGAGGGGATGGTGACAAAATGTGAAAAGACACAAAACCTCATTTTCTCATTCATTAAACACTGTCCAGGGACAGCTTTAGCCTGGGACAGATCATTCAATACAGGGACAGTCCCAGGAAATCCTGGAAGTCGAGTCACCCTACTTTTTATGCCCTTCCAGTGGATGCAATCTTAACAACGTCCTTTAGGTAGATAAAGCATGACAGTGCCTTTCAAATCCTTTTAATTTAAATAAAAGAATTTAAAAGGCACTTTCATGCTTTCAAGTTTTTTCTTGAGATACATATATATATATATATATATATATATATATATATATATATATATATATATATATATATATATATATATATATATATATATTAAATCATATTAAACCAGGGCTCAACAGTGCGACCATTTCACTCGCATTTGTGACCTAAGAATAGATGTGTGTGAATTGGTGAATTGTAAAATGTATTTAGGGGCACATGTGCACAAAAAAAAAAAATAGCCGAGGCAACAAATGTCTTTTCATGTAAATACCATGGTGAAGTTAGTTTTAGGTTGGATATTCGACGGACATAGCAACAGCAGCGCGGATAAATCTACTCAGCATCCTCGCTGTCAACGTCGGGTGTTGAATAAGGGACCATCAATAAATTACCGTATGATGTTCTCAGAAAAGGCTGATTTCATTCAATAGCTTTCATGTCATGTGACCAAAAGACCAAACATTGATTTCAAATAATAGTACTTCTGTCAACCAATAAGACAAACATTATTTGATCAATTTTCATTGTTCCTCTAAAGATATTTGTGTGCTCCTTACTTTTTCAACTTAGGAGCATGTGTGCTTCTTGTAAAAAAAAAGTGAGTTTCAAACACTGTATTAAACAACAGGTTCGCTTTTATTTTTATTTTATTTTTTTTCTGTTGCCCCTCAAACAGCCTCAACACATCACTGTTAAAAGCATTTACCAGCCCTTCAAATTTATTCCGCTTCAATAAAAAGCTCCATCACAAAATGCTGACCCGCAATTTTTTATTTTATTTTTTTTGCTTCTTTAACTACTCTTTTTAAAAGAAAGTTAAAAGAAGTTCATCAAATTAGTTTCTCATCTGAATAAATGTAGAAATAATCACGGCGCTCCGTCCCGCCTTTGACAGAAAAGCGGTAACCAGATATTCAAAAACAATACGTCATTCCATAATACAGCGCGCCTGCGCTCTCCGTACTGCATTACCTCATCCCACAATCCACCGCGAGATTCAGAATCTTCTGGGCAACGCGCCTTATCTACGGAATGGACCCCGCCTCTCGACACGCCCTCTGGCCAATGGGAGAGCCCCGTCATGACATCATGGTTATTTTTAGCGAGGCAGCGGCAGCAGATAAGGTTAGCCTGCACGCGCTCAGCTCAGACTGTACACACAGAGCGGAGGAGCGAACACATATACGCACACACTCCGAGCAGCTCTTGACAGCAGACCTAGAGTCCCGAGACCGGAGAAAGTTCTCGTTCCGGAATTCACTCATCATTGTCGGGGTTTACCGACACAGAGGGACGTTAGGAAACTACAGACGCACCTGGAGGAGGAGGAGTGGTTTTTAAACAGACTTTCTGGTTGTGTTTTCGGTCCTTCTTCTATGTTTACCAAGATGGAAACTACTTTCTATGACGACTCTCTGAACGCCTTCTCCCAGCAAGACTCCGCCGGCTTCAGCTTCAGCAGCCCCAAAGCTCTCAAACAGAGCATGACCCTCAATCTGTCGGACCCCACCGGCTCCCTAAAGCCACACCTGCGGGCTAAAGCCGGGGACCTCCTCACATCCCCGGACGTGGGCCTTCTGAAGCTGGCCTCCCCAGAGCTGGAGCGGCTCATCATCCAGTCCAGCAACGGACTCATCACCACCACGCCGACCCCTACCCAGTTCCTCTGCCCCAAGAACGTAACGGACGAGCAGGAGGGGTTCGCGGAGGGGTTCGTTCGGGCTCTGGCGGAGCTGCACCACCAGCACATGCCGGCCCCGGCCAACGTGAGCGTCACCTCGGCTCCTCAGACCAGCGTCAGCTCCGCCCTGCCCCCGGTGTCCTCGGTTGCCGGGGCATCAGTTTACAACAACAGCGGCTCCCTCCGATCAGACTCTCCGGTCTATGAGGACCTGAACACCTTCACACCGGCCATCAGCACCGTGTCGGCTCCTAACTACACCACTTCAGCTCCCACTATGTCCTTCCCGAATGCCCAGTCACAGCTCCCACTGTACGGACAGCCCTCCTCCGCCCAGCTGCCCCGGCTCAGCGCGCTGAAAGAGGAGCCGCAGACCGTGCCGGAGATGCCGGGGGAGACCCCTCCTCTTTCTCCCATTGACATGGAGAGCCAGGAGCGCATCAAGGCTGAGAGGAAGCGCATGAGGAACCGCATCGCTGCCTCCAAATGCCGGAAGAGGAAGCTGGAGCGGATCTCTCGACTGGAGGATAAAGTCAAGAACCTAAAGTCCCAAAACTCGGAGCTGGCGTCCACCGCCAACATGCTGCGGGAGCAGGTGGCCCAGCTGAAGCAGAAGGTGATGAACCACGTGAACAGCGGCTGTCAGCTCATGTTGACCCAGCAGCTGCAGACCTTTTGAGGGGACTCGGTACCGGAGAGAGACTGATGATGGACGGAACGGACGCTTCCTGTTCCCGGATTTGGGATGATGTGGCGCCTCGCTGGCAGGACCGGGAGCCGCTCTAGAGTTCCTGAGTGCCAGGCGCCCCCCCTTGGCTCGTCCCGCAGAGAGGTTTGGGACGGAATGATCCGCAGGGGGCAGCCCGCAGGATTTTCTCTACTCTTCTCACAGAACTGGACTGAAGTGTTCTTGATTTACTCCCGGGTCTGCAAGGACCGGATCAGACCACCAAAGGAGACTTTCAGTAATTGAGGATTTATCTGCAAACTTTCTGCTGAAGCCATAAAGGCCCCAAACTTTACAGACTGAAGAGTTAAAGCTGCCTGAACCTGTTTCAGTACCAAGAACTGTTTTTTCTTATTTGTAAGAAGTAAAGTTAGAAAAGCTTCAAGGTTTCTTGTTTCTTTCTAAACTTGTTTGATGGGGTTTCACTCATTACTCATGTACAGGAGGTCAACACGGAGTACTTCTGTTTTGTATTAAATAATCTTTAATTTTTTATGCTTTGTTTTCTGAGCACTTCAGAAATTAATCCATATTTAAGGAAATAAAGCTGAGAAACTGAAGCAGCCTCTGTGTCCTGTCACTGTTGGTTGATGTGTGTATGAGTGTGTGTGTTTTGTCACTGTTGTGTGTGTGTGTGTGTGGGTGTGTCATGTCAGCAGCTCCAACAATAAAACATGTTGCAACATGTTGCAGGATCAGCCTGTCCTCAGCTCCTGCAGGTAAATTCCATCAGAGCTGTTATTGATCCGAGCTCACTGATTATTTGAGCTCACACAGACTTAAAAGGAGTGTGAATATACACCCTTTCAGTGTTCTCAGGTGTGATAATCTGGCAGAGTGGTATCAGGCTGAAATTATCCTAAAATCTGAACATATCACAGATTAAACTCCTAATAGCAGCATAATCTGACGGTTTCCACCTTGTTGCATCATGCAGTTTACAGAACGGGACTCCCTCTGCTGGTGACAGTGAGACAGACCAGCAGGTAACAACAAACTGAGGAATCCATCATGATTGTTAAGGTGTCACCCTGGTATAAAGGGCCAGTTTACTATCATTAAAGAGGTATAGAGGTGCATTTGTGTGTGCAGTCTGCTCTCTATAGAAACACAAACATTCATAATAATGATAATAAGAATAGTATAGTTAAGCTTTTTTAACATGTACACAAAAAATATGAGCCACGCTTTGACAAAAAGTAAAGAAGAGAAAAGTCTTTATAAATCTCCTTAAAATTTGTTTTATCACTTTATATGTTGACATCTGCCACAATATGAGTATTTCTTAATTTGGGGGACATTGGATTGGCTTTTTGTTATCATAATATTGTGACTAATTTTATACTGAAACTTTCCTGTACTGACTTACACCTGCAGCCGGTGAGTGCTTTTAAACAGTGTATGTGTTTCACCACTAGAGGTCGACAGAGACTCTTTGAGGTGGTCCAACAGTATTCCTGATTTCACTGCAGATATCACTCTTCCATTTTTTAAGCCTTTTTTTTCACATTTGAAGTCAAAACATTAGGTTAATTTTATCCATGTCACTAAAAGCTGATATTTAATTATCATTTAATTAAAAAAAATACCTTGAAAGCATCATTGAGATTTAAAAAAAAATGGTTTCATAAAAGTGTACTGGCCAAGATCCACTTCAGCATATCAAAGAGTTGCAGAAATACAACATACAACAGTTTCTGACACAACCTACTCTGGCTCATATAACATAAAGTCCTCATAGAACATAGAGCAGAGGTGTTGAGATGATGCATGCAGGGACATAAAGCAGCAGCAAAAAGCCTTTGTTTTTCTTTTTGCAAAAGAAATCATGACCTTTTCTGAATTACTAGCCCAGCTGCAACTTTAACTTATGGATATTGAGTTTAAATTAGAACAAATTATAGGTAAAGAATCCTAGATATCCATAATAAAATACAGACTCAGTTACCCTAAGATGTAAAGAGATGGCAGGTTCAGCGGTTTTGTGAATTAGATAACATAACAAATAAAATAAAATATATATATATATGTGTGACCAAAAACAATTTAAATGCTTACTCTTAAGTACATATTAAACAAATTATACCGCACATATTTTCAAATGAATTGCTATCGTTGCTTAATCATGTTCTTAACCAGTTTGTTATCTACCTGTGAATGCACTGAAATGACACTTATCACACACCTGCATGTCAAACAATCAAGTTATAGATAGCAGAGGCCTCGGGGAAATGTCTGTAAGATAGCATTTAATACAGCTATAGTGATCAAAACAGGGCAACATGCAGGTAATTTCATAAAATACATGAACAAAATGGAGATTTGAATTATTTATTTGTAATCGAGGTAAAGTGAGAAAAGTTGTGGGAAGGTATGATCCACATGAATACCTGAACATGAAACAAACCTGCTTCGTGTTCAGTCTATGTCCAATGTGAGCACTATCTTCCTTAAATCCTCCTTTTACTTTCTGTTTGTCTCCTACTTTTAAAAATTGTCCTTGAAGTAAAGCAGGAGCTAATCCAGCATGTTTCCTTATGAAAGGATCTCCCTGATATGGGGCGGCGTGACGTGTGGTCGGAAGCGGTATCCTTACCACCATATAAGGAGAGGGAACGCTGGGGAGGTGACGTCAACCGGCAGAGGCGCGTCTTACGGGAAGTGAGCAGAACGTGCAATCTGTATAATGAAGAATTTGAGAGGGCAGGTCAGCGAGTAGATTACAGCGACCAATAAACACTGAGAGCCGGTTTCATAATCAAATTAACACTTTTTTATTTAATTCAGTTTAAAAATGAAAGACATGGCTTTATAAAGACTGCACACACTGACCTGTTTTAATCCAATCATTGCAGTAAAACCTGTTAAATGTTAGGAAAGATTTTTTCATACCTTGATTTTATTTATTTATTTAGTTAGTTTGTTTGTTAATGTCGTTTATAATGATCAAATTTGCTGCAAATAAAGAACAGTAGACCGGACTGCACAAGTAAAGCTTGAGGTAACAGCAGCTGTCCTCTTTAATCAAGTTTAAATGATCAAAAATGGTATTTGCATATAAATCAGTCACTGACTATCACACCCTTAGATTTATACAAATCATAGAGTATAATACATTTTTTTTAAATTTATCAGTAATCAATCAATAATCAATCAATTACTGTTAACTGATTAGATTTTTCTTACATATATATATATAAATATATATGTGTGTGTGTGTGTGTGTATATATATATATATATATATATATATATATATAGAGAGAGAGAGATAGATAGATAGATAGATAGATAGATAGATAGATAGATAGATAGATAGATAGATAGATAGAAATCTCTCCCTTGCTTGAGGGTCCTGCGCAGTATCCTTGCTGTTCTTAGGACTGCACTCTTCTGGAGTAAGATGTTTGATGTTTCCCCAGGTATCTGTTGAAGCCACTTCTCCAGTGTTGGGGTTACTGCCCTGAGTGCCCCAATGACCACAGGCACCACTGTTGCCTTCACCTTCCAGGCTTTCTCTAGCTCCTCTCTGAGCCCTTGTACTTCTCTAGTTTCTTGCTTTCCTTCTTCCTGATGTTAGTAGTGCTTGGGATGGCGACATCTACCACAATGGCTTTCCTCTGCTGTTTGTCTACGATTACAATGTCCGGTGGGTTGGCCGTTATCATTTTGTCGTTCTGTATCTGGAAGTCCCACAGGATCTTGGCTCGGTCATTCTGCATCACCTTGGGAGGTGCTTCCCATTTTGACCTCAGGGTTTCCAGTCCATATTCTGCATAGATGTTCCTGTACACTATACTGGCTACTTGGTTATGGTATTCCATGTATGCTTTTCCTGCCAGCATCTTACATCCTGCTGTCAGGTGTTGGACTGTTTCAGGGCCCTCTTTGCACAGCCTACACCTGGGATCTTGCCCGGTATGGTATCTGGGCCTCTATTGCTCTCATGCTCAAGGCCTGTTCTTGTGCTGCTATGATTAGTGCCTCTGTGTTGTCTATCAGCCCAGCCCTCTCCAGCCATTGGTAGGATTTGCTCATTGGTAGGATTTGCCCATATCAGCCACTTCAGCTATCTGTCTGTGGTACATCCAATGCGGGTTTTTTTCCTATCATGATGGTTCCTCTGGTTTCTCCTTCCCTGCCTGTCTCCATTCTCTGAGACACATACTAAGTGCTCCATCTCTGCGGGCCATCATCCTGACAAAGTTATGATGCTTGGATGTTTCATCTTGGATAGTGGCTCTGATGCTCACTAATCCTCTGCCTCCTTCTTTGCGCTTAGTGTATAGCCTCTGGATACTGGATTGGGGTGGAACCCCCCTGCATGGTGAACAACTTCTGAGTTTTAACCTTTGTAGTCTGAATTTCCAACTTTTGCCAGCTTATTATTCCTGCAGTGTATCTGATCACGGGAAGGGCATAACTGATAATTGCCTGAACTTTGTTTCTGCCATTGAGCTGACTCTTTAGGACCTGCCTTACTTGCTTCAGGTTCTGGCAGTTGCTGCTATTCTGCCCTTTGGTAGTGTAATGCCCTCTGTGAAAAGTCAGATTTTCTTTGTAGCTCTGACTTTTTTTCTGACAAAAACAAAAACAAAAACAAAAAAATCAGAATTTTGAGAATAAAGTTAAAATTTGAGATCAAGTCAGTATTTTGAGTTTCAAGTTAGGATTTCGAGATTAAAGTAAGAATTTTGAAAAAAAAAAGTTTAAGCTTATTTCTTTTTTTTCTGTGGCTCTAATAGTCTTTATTTGTTTAAAGATCCTAAACAATCCCTTTATATGACATTGTAAATAATTTCTTAACTATGATGGGGTAAGTCATTTACATTCCTGACTTTCTCTAAAATTACACAGAAGTTATGAACGTCATGATTTATTTCTTCTTGCAGCAGGTGGAGTAATCAGGAATGTAAAGAAGATAAAACTCTGTACACACTTATGAGCACAGACATCCATTTTATGTTGAATGAAACTCCAGATATAATTCGGCCAGGTTGAGCTGCACACCTGTAAAATGTAAAAAATTTAAACTTGATGTTTGAGTTGAAGTTTAACAAAACGTGATGTTTAGAGTGTAGCTGCAAGCATCCTCAACCCATGCCGACGCTTTTTTGGACGCTGTTGCATCAGGAGGACACCAGGGGGCGTTAAGGAGTAAGTGGAGAGGTTCATTCACAGCTGAGTGTAGGAGGACAAGTCTGCAGGCTGTGCATGATGTAGAAAAGAGACAAACAGAGCCGGTTCAAGGCATAAGCAAAATAAGCGGCTGCTGAGGGCCCTGTGGCCACTTGGGGGGGCAATGATCAACTACATGGGTGCTTTAAGTAGGTGTGCAGTGTATGTGACGCAAAGGGGCGTGCTGTACAGGGGACCTGCGACGAGTACCTACCGAGTAGTTGTCGTCTATGATCACACAGCTGATGACCCCACACACACACACACACACACACACACACACACACACACACACACACAAATTGTTCCAGCTCTGGTGAAGCCCTGCAACGAAAAAAACATTACAGCCTTATTTAATTGAACATTTCTTTACTAACATCCTTGTCTACATACTTTATTAAAATAAAAGTTGTCAAAGTTCAGAGATAAACCAGCCGGAAATAAGTGATATTTTTACTCAGAATTCTGTCAGGCAACTCCAATCATGAAACCACCTCTCAAACCTCAACACATCCTGACAGAGTTGCTCAATCACAACCAGAACCTTTTAATTTGATCTAGCACTTGTGCAACACTGATAAAGTGGTTTCTCCATCAGCGCTCAGTGATAGGGTTAATGAAGAGAGAAGACTTTCTGTCTACGTTTGAGTCACATTCAGATATCTAGAGTCAGGTAAATAAATAAATACTAAAACTACTTTATTATTCCTTGTGAGTTTACAAAGACAAATCATTGAGAGACACGACAGCGGTAGAAAAAAAGAAACTTAACCCAAATACCTAAAAGGAAGTAACTGACACCAAAGCTCTGACACCACAGAGGGCTGACATGGTGGGTTTTTTTCATGTTTCCTCCCCCTCACATCATTTTCCACTAATACTCTGCTTTATCTTTCATCAGAAAATCTGAGGTCACTTCATCTAACTGGTGCGTTTTCACACTGAATAAGTTAAATGAGTCTCTGGAAAATGAAAAGGTTACTCAGAGAAACAGGACATCACAGAAAACCTGAAAACTTATGAGCACCTGTGGAGCAAAAGTGAATGAATGCTGCAGCAGTTTTCTTCAAAAACTCAGTTTTTCTTATAACATACTGAATGTTTCAGTAACTGCAAAAGATTACAAAAGTTTTATAGGAATATACACAAAATCTCCATCTATATTCATACAGTAGTTTGATTAAGTTCCCTTGTGAAGATATTTCTGAATAAAAGTTTAGCTATCACTTCAATCAATAGTAAAGAAAGTGAGTAAAAAAATGATCATTATAAAATGTACTTTAATTGCTAAACTCAGTTAGGGATAATGTGTAGTGAACAGGTGATAATGCAAACTAGAAGTCTGACAGGGTGAGCGGGACCCTGACTCAAAGCAGGTTGGTCCTGTTTCCTCTGAAGAGATTCTAATTTTTACTTTACATTTTCTTACTTTTTACCAAGCCACCAACCAAAGACATCAACAACCTCACACAGAATAGCATCCCTGTCAAATATGGTAGGAGTCCACTCGCTCCTCTGGCTGCCATGACCTGTTGACTGTTTTTATTTCCCCATTTACAATGTGTCAACAGGCAGAGGTGCTTGTTAACATTATGATTCAATCTTTTCAAGTATTGCTTTGTACCTGAGTGGTATAATGGTAAAAGGCTTGTTCTTGTATAACAAAATCTGAGATTTAATCCTTGTTGAATTAGACATGAGCAGGTGTATATAAACACAAGACATTTGTGTGCTCATGTAAACTTCATGCCACCCCTGCAAAAAATTGGTGGGGCTGCTCAATGATGCACACTTGAGCACTCTACCCACCTGGATGCTTGGCATGTGTGTTCATGTGTTAAGTGTCAGTGCACAATTGTTTCACATTCCCCAAACAATCAAAAGTGCAGCACACTTCCTTTTCACTTCATTTCAGTAAGACCACAGCTAAGTGGTATTAGCTCAAGTATTTTTCATAGTTTGTATCACATTGTTGACTTTTAGTCCGTCATTTTTTCACAGTCATTATCAAAAGCTACAGAATTGGCACCATCAGAGAAAATTTCAGCGTAAAAAGTTGTTTCCAAGGTGCAAATGTTGTAACTTTACATTCTATTCACGCTTCACTTGTTCTGTCTCTAAACCCCATTATTTACGTCAATTTCATAACAATTCTGTCATTGTTGTTCTAGTAGTGAAAGTCACCTGCTGACTTTAATTTTCCATAAACCAATCCAAGCTCAGTCTATTATCATTATCATGCCATTCCTGTAAATAGTTTATGTACTTGTTCCATCACCTCTGGCTCTGTAACCATACATCTATATGGTATTGTTCTTGTTGTCTCTGTTCATCTCTCTTTCTGCATCTCCCTCTCTGCAAATCCCCTGTATGCCGTATAGTGTTTCACTTATGTAGGTAGAGGTCGATCAGAGTGGATCTGATCTTACAAAATGGGACTCAATCTTATTCCGCCTAGAATAAAGATTGATTGATGGTCTACAGTGAGTGGGTCCACGGCTATTAACCCTCATCCTGTGTTAGGGTTTGCATCGACCCATTTTTGTTTTTAAATGCTTAAAAGCATTATTAAAATGATGGCACTTGTGGTGTTAGGGTCGCTGTTGACCCGGTTAGATCAATTTCTAATAATTAGAGCAAAAACTGAAATCATAAGTGCACTGTCAGTCAGATCCTCTTCCAATCATGTAAGATTTAGGAAATTCTCATTTTGCCAAGTTTTTCCCTGCACAATTCTGATGGAGAATTGTTTTTAGTGTAATTTACAACTGATTTAAGACACGGGTCAAAAACATGGTGGGTGCATAGTAAAAACTAACACATGAGGAAGGTCAAGAATGTTGAAATGTACATCACTAGGGGACTACAGTGCATATTTCAATTTATCACATTAAAGGTAGAGTGATGGCTTTTTCACTTGTGCAAAGTTACCTGGAAGTAATTTTAACTTTTGCAATTTCTTGGGACAACACCAAATGAGACACCCCAAAAATGAATCAAAACACTTTTCATTATTGTAACCATAACCAATGTTTGTATAAATTCAGGACTCAGTAAACAAATTTACTTCCCTTTTTCAAGTGGCTTTACTGTAAGGCAACCTTAAATTTTGGTTTAGTTGAGCTTACTTTATATGTTCACACTAACTCTCTATAAATAATATGCACACAAACATTAAGAGATGTAAACGTCGGTACTGTCTCTCCCGAGTTATTTGCGTCACGTGACTGCTGCTACCAGCTGTCACGTGACTTTGTTTTGGCTGTGCCCGGTGTGTGTGGAGTAAAAATGGCGAGAAACGAGGAGAAACAGCAGGGTCGACTGAACAGACTGTGGCTTCAGAGGGAGAGAGAAGGTGAGGAGCAAAAGTTTACCTGCTGCCTGACAGATAGATCGCTGTTAGCTAAACTAACGCTAATGTTTAACCGCTTCAGCGACTCCGTCCGGGTGAAATGAAAAGAAAGAAAGAAGTTTTTGCCTTTGCATCCATGTTGGTCAACTTTGTATCCCATAAGAAGTGACACAAAGAGCCCATCAGCTTTTGCATCAAGTGCTACTCTTCTGTTAACAGTCGGTGTAAATACTGTTGGCTTTACTGACTGTTAGCATACAGCTCTGACTGAAAGTCTTTCTGTTTTTACAGAGGGTCGTCTCAGAGATGTGAACGAGAGAAGACCTCGGCTGGTAATGATTACATTCAGTAAATGGGGGAGAGTGGGGTAAGATGAGCCATTTTTCACATTTCGGATCACTACATCAAGCCAATCGTAGTTTTGTCTCTAACTAGTGTATCTGCATATATTTCAAGATGTTGTGCATCCCTGCAAACCAACAGAATGAGTGTAAACATAACTGTCTTGATAATATACCATGCCAAAAAAGTGATCTCCTACCCCGTGTATGGGGGTAAAACTTACCCTTTGGCTCAACTTACCCCACTCTCCCCAAAATATGTTTAAGATGTTTTAATATTTTTAGCAGCTTGTCAGACTGAGATATTTGTGTCTTCAGTCTGCTCTGACCTCAGCGTCCTCTGTGAAGAAATGGATCCCCAGCATCAAGTCAGAGATCGAGTATTATCTGCAGGTCAGTGATGCCAAACATGGATGAAGAGCCCTGGCTGGACTCTCTGATGTCTGAGTTTCTGTTCCTCCTCTCAGCAGTCCCAGCTCACTCACTATCCAGAGAGGAAGATCGCTCAGTTTCAGCTGCATATCCAGGCTTTGGAGTGAGAGTACAAGAGCTTCATCTCCAAGCTGAGAGTCCTTGACCCGACCTGTAAGCACACGCCATGGACTCCAAGAGCGTACTGCAAACGCAGAGCTGACCCACTAGATGGACCCAGCACTGGTCAGTCTGTTGATCTACACCAGCACCCTTCACACATGAACTCCTGACAATTTGTAGATCACTTCTTCCTTTGCAAGGCACATTATTGTTTCTAAAATGAGTGCTTCAAAACACCAGTTTTGACACCTGGTTTAAACACCAGTCTCAAGATGAAATATTGTCTGCTGTCTGAACACTTAAATTAAATAAGCTAAAGACAGCAGAGTATTAAACCCTACTCTTTCATAAAAGATAAATACAAAACATTTAAAGGGAGATTTCACCTCAGGGAAGGGATTAATTTATCTCCACATTGCAAAGCCACAAATCAAACTTAACTTTATATAAAAATGGCACTTCTGGAAATATCTGCCTTTTTCAGTTTAGGGTACTATTTAAGCTAATATGAAATTATCTTCTTAAGGATGTTTTAATTTGCATATGGCAATGGTCTATTATTGTAATAGATCTTCAAACATCAGTTTCAGCAACATGTCAACACTAAAGAATGCCTATAGCAGCAGGAAGCATACAGGTAGTCTGTATACATCTAACATATGTAACACAAGTGAAACAAAGTGTTTTGATCTTAGTAGGTGAATAGAAAATTACACACAAATAATAAATAACAGAATTTAAGATAGTAACAGAAGTTTCCTGACTATAACCAACTGAGTTCACACACTAGATCACTTTGACTTCACGTGGCCATTTGATGAGGGTTGGAGGTAAAAATCCAGATCAAGTTTGAGTTGAAATTCATCCATTTGCATTCCTACCAGGGTAAAGTCATGAAATGTTCAGGAGCTCAGAGTGTCTGTCGGAGGGACCACTGATATGTCTGATTTACACATTTCTGAAAGATTGTTTCCTATGATGAACTGTTCCTTTATAAAAACAAAACCTGACTCTTGCTCCTCCTCCTCCTTTTTTACTGGTTTCAGTGAAATTTCCTCATCTCTGTGGGTCTCATGATGGCAGTACTGACAGAAGAGATGAGGGAGAACCAGACTGTAAGACAGGATCTGAAAAAGCTCCAGGCCCAGACAGAGCCTACATGTCTCAGACTGAATCAGTCCCAGAGACCTCAGAGGGGGTCTGTGCTGACCAGGACCAGAATCAGAACCAGGACCAACCCCTCTCCTTTGACCACACCCGGTTGGCTGTGGCTGTAGCTGCCTTTAGAGGACCAGTCTCTCAGCTGGGCTCCTCTCAGACTCACAGTCTGGCTCGGGTCTTACAGTCCAGACTTCCAAACCTCACAAACTCCTCCTCCTCCTCCTCTTCGTCATTGAGCAGAGATTTAGAGAATAAAGGATGCACATTAGGGTCTATCATGGAGCAAAGGAGTCAAGTCCAGGTGGGTCAGACAGATTGTGGTCCTGCAGAGATGAACTCTGGGAAAACCTCCATTGATGAGACGTCAGAGGAGAGGGGCACTCACATCCTGGGACTGGACTGTTACTCTTCATCCACGGATGATGATGAGGAGGAAGAAGAGGACAGCTGACATGTTGAATTCTGATATTTCATACTTTGAAAAAATTTTAATAAGCCTTTTTTTTTAACTAATGACCCTCCAATTGCTGCTGAACACCAGAAAAAAGTTAAGATGAAACTTTTCACTTTTAAAATCAAAATTTGTACATTTATGGTCCTAAAGCTCAATGATTTGTTTTTGAAAATATAGTTGATTTTTATTAAATGTTTCACGTTTTAAGAAGTCTTTTTTGCATTCACTGAAATGTTTTTGTGTTTTTGAAAACAGGATTTATAAAGTTGTGCTGTGAAACAAAACAGTGACGTTAGATCATTTTTAGAATCCACTGTCTAAAATCCCTCAGCTCAAACATCATTTCATTATGAAGACTCAACACGGTTTTGCATCTTGCAACATCTGTTGGACAGTCTTTGCAGCTCTGCAGCACATTCTCTATAATGAGAATAATTCAGTAGTTGGCCATCAGGTTAATGTTTCTGGTCAGATGCAGCAATAACTCCTAACTACATGGTTCACAGGAAAGATAAACTGAGATGTTCATCAACGGCACTCAATGCAGGGGTGCTGCGTCAGAGAAAAATGTCTGACATGAGTCAAGTGATTTTTTCAAATTGAGGAATTCATCGTAACAGTTATGTTGGTTTGTGTCATCAGACCACACAGTTTCTTCTCACAGTTCAGACACACAGATTCCTGCTGATTCAGTCATTCATCTACTGATCATATTTTAGTGGTGCAGCAACTCTGAATGCGACCTGATTAGACCCCAAACCCCACCCTCCCACACCATTCCCTCCGCTCTGAGCTGCTGCTGAGCTGCTGCTGAGCTTTCATAGTGACTCTTCTGGGAAACAGACTCATCAGTCTGCAGCAGCTCTGTGCATTTTCTGGTTAACTTGACGTACTTGCCCTTCAAGTTAGAGCTCAGCATGCACGGTACAGGAGGGGCTGTTTCAGGGTTTCCCTTTGGTTCTACATGGGTCTGCAGAAACGAAACTTTGCTTCTGTGACTTATGATGCAATGGAGACCACAGCACCGAAATGCACCCAGGTGTAATATGAAAAAAGCTATATTCAGGTTTCTAGCCATGTCTAATCTGTATCCTCTGTGCCTGGCCAGGGTTACGAATAATAAAAGAAGCGCTCAAAAAAATACAGAAAATAGACCTCACTGACTATGAAAGCATTCACACTCTCAGGGGCATTTCTTTTTGTTTTGTTTGAAATGTATTTATCCAAGGGGAGCTTTATGAGACAGCAAACTCTTACAAAAAATTCCTGGCCAAGACCACCACCAGCATCAACTTGTTTCTCAACTCCTTGTGGTCACAACTCCTTCAACACTTTTACAAAGATTTACAGAACCAACACTGGGTTGCACCAACTGTGCTTAAGTTCCGACTCAGCCTTGTTTGAACATGGAAACCCAGGATCAAATTATTACTCCAGTAAGATTTTAGTTGTTGCACCTGTTGTGATAGTGTCACTACTAGTTTAAGTTCCAACTCAAGTTTTACAGCAGGCTCTGAGTGGACGGTAAGTCACTTCTGGGTCATGCAACTTGTCCCAGTAGGAGATGGAACAATTCAATGAACTGCGTTTATCGATCAGATTTTTCTATTTTGTTTTTGAACACAAAATAGAGAATTTTAAATATGTTTTGGTAACAGGTATTAAAATATATGCTTCTGAGTTGTGGGCAGAGACAGCGTCGCACAGCACAGCTTGCAGCCTAACATTGCCAGTGCAGCAGAAGTAGCAGGTATTGTAGGAGTATCTTAGGAGTGTTGCAATCCGCCTCTTGTTTTTGGGGGTCTGGCCTGCAGAGCGGGGCACCAGGGGTGGAGCTTGGATTTGTGACATAGAAAATCCCACTGTGTCTGAACCTGTCGTTTGGGTCTGCCAAAGGTTCACACTGATTTGAATGAAGAAATACTCAGAAATGCAATTTTGCCCTAATTTTTCTCATGGTAGCATTAAAATACTGTGTCATATGAACATGTAGACAACAAGAAAAACATGATTTTAATTGGAGTGGGTCTTTAAGGAACATAATGATGACAGTATTTTGACAGACTCCCTCTCTAGTGGACTGTAGGGAGAAAATATCAAAAATATTGGGCTTTTGTTACAGCAGAGCAGATTTAAAGAGGAATTTCTAAGGTGAAAGAGAGACAAAGATGGAAACAAAGAATTCAGAGATAAAAAATAAAGCAAATTATGGATTTGAGTTAAAGAGAAAAGAGGAAAGGAAGAAAGGGTTGAAGGTAGATCGATAGTATGAGGAGCAGGTTTTCATCTTGCACTGCCGTGTTTCTAAAGCTGTGCTAAACAGACAAACCAGATAAAGTCTTAAACAGCTGACTAATACACAGAGAGATTTTTTATTAATCGACAGAAACAAACCAAAGTCTGCTGGAAACTGTGTCAACCACAGCAAGGAGCTTCAAACTCACAGACTCCAACCCAGTGAGAAGCAGAGACCACAGATACATGAATGTCAGGTTGTGTGTGTGTCTGTGTGTGTGTGTGTGTGTGTGTGTGTGTGTGTGTGTGTGTGTGTGTGTGTGTGTGTGTGTGTGTGTGTGTGTGTGTGTGTGTGTGTGTGTGTGTGTGTGTGTGTGTGTGTGTGTGTGCATACGTGCGTGTGTGTGTGTGTTCCTGGAAGCTCTTGGTACATGTTGGGTTAACCCTCACCTCATTGTACCCACTCAGCTGTGGCCCTGCCATCCTCATTTGCTTTTCTCATGCTTTTTCATTTTTATTTTGCAGATACACAAAGATACGGAAATAACCCCCCTTTTTTAACCACAAAATCATCATGTTTCATCAAGTAAAGATTGAGTGGTTTTTTTCTTCTTGCATTCTTGCAGACTGATCTGTATATCCTGTAGTCTAGTTATTTATTCATCTGTTGATTTATTGAAATCCGAGTTGGACTTCTTTGTCATTATTTATATATTTATTGGTTTTGTGCATTGAGCTTAAAAGTTGTAGAGCCACCAAACCGGGTTTACTTGAGCCTAGTTTGTAAGAAATTAGTTGTTTTATGTACGTTTAGTGGGCGTGGCTAAATGGCTCAGTAGCTCCTACCACAAGTTTTCAAAAACTCAGTCCCCACAGCACATTTAACCAAGAACTATAATATTTGGTGGTCGGATATACCAAGCCTAGACCTAAAAAAGAGTCTCCTTGGCCTCTATTGAAATACAACAGGAAGTCCACCATTTTAAATTGTTGGTAGAGAAACAAGCTCATTTTAGGTTATTTGCCACAGAAGTCTCAAATTTGTTACATGTAAGCACACTGGGGAATGAGATTTGTCATAAAGGTTTGGTTAAATGGCTCAGTGATGCCCCCCACAAATGTTTGAACACCATCCCGTCCTCAACAGCATGTGGGACCAAGAGTTCTGCAATTTGGCAGAGTGATGTATCAAGTGTATCAAGTATAAAGTCCTGTGGGCTTGTCAAAAATAAAACCAAAAGCCGACTGCCATCTCAAGGGATATTTCTAGTAAAAACTCCTCCTTGGGAAGAGATCCGATCCAGTTCGACTTTGGCGTACAGGTAGAACAGACCTGCACAAAAAAGTCCTTTGGTGTTTCTAAAAAGTCTAAAGGTGTGGCTGCATTGGTTTGTCAAAGTCTGACATCCAAAAAACAGGGATTTATTCTCGGTTACTGGGCTTGCACTTTGGTTCATTCCTATAATAAGATTAATCTAGCATATGTCTACCTTATTTCTAATGCCCAATTGCTTATTGCTTAAGGAACGGTAAGTTCCTAAAACACAAACAAACCCAAACTACCTCAAACTTCATATGTAAGATTACAATCCTTTGCTGAGAACATCTGTTTGCCTTTGCTGCATTTTTGTTTCGGCACAGAAGAATCCATGTTGGAAATGCTTCAGGAGGATACAAAGGTAGAGGAAGATAGAGAGTTGTCTTCCAAACACAAAAATTAAAAGCAGTTTTGACTTTCCTGTGTCAACAACCCACCAAGTGTAAAGACGCAGGGACCGGTTCAGAGCTCCTTGCAGCCCTACTTAGTTGTTGCAAAGCATTCATGATTGCTGGTTTTGTTGAAACCTGTTAGATTCATTTTCTCTTGCTCAGGACAGAGTGGAGGTATGAAAAAATAAAGTGATAACCCCTCAATTAAAAATATGAGCTGCTAAAAGAAACACCCTGCAGTGTATAAAGGTGTTTTACCACTTTTAGGAAGCATGACATGCAGAGAAGGTGATTTCATGCTTGTGTTACTCAAAGTTTCCTTTCGTGGAATTGATGAAAATGTCTCAGACTGGTTAGTGATTAGCGATGAGGAGGTCAGCTTTAACCCCTAAGTTCCTGCCCATCACACTTACACACACACAGCTGTCTCAGTGCACACGGAGCAAAGCTGAGCTCAGAGGATTCAAAGTGTGCTAAAGTTTCATAAAGTTATAGATCAGTCAGCAGGGGTGGATACTTTGGGGTTCCTGAGATGACTTAATGATAATGAGTGTGTGTGTGTGTGTGTGTGTGTGTGTGTGTGTGTGTGTGTGTGTGTGTGTGTGTGTGTGTGTGTGTGTGTGTGTGTGGGCGGGCTCTGTGGAAGCTGAATACATTGACAGCAGAGTTTTTTTAAGTCACAGCTGCACAGACATGCACTCAGTTAGTCCCTCAGCAGCATCATGAACACAGACCAGAACTACCCCCTCCCTCAGGTGTTCCTCGTGGATGGAGGTGGGGGTCCACAGTATCCTGCCCATCAACCAGGTATGGTCCCCTGCTGGTCCTACCCACCCCTCCAGGAAAGACAAAGGAGCAGAAAGAGGAGTGGGGACTGCATGGGGGTCCGGCCATGCACAGCCCTGCTGGTCCTGATGCTGTTCCTGCTTGTGTTTGCTGCGCTTGGCTTCGAGACTTACCAACTCAACAGGATGAAGGAGGAGCTGAAGGAGCTCAGACAGGTGAGGACATACCTGAGAGTGTGAATATTTATACTTTTAGATTTTTTGATTGTTGCAGCTTCTCAATCATGCAAAGTATGTGCATCTTTGTTGCTGTGGTTTTTGCTCTTTGAAGCTCCTTTAGCTGCGTGTTTGTGTGAATTGTTCAGTTAAAATACTTAAGCAGCCTGCAGCAGGGAGTGGAGAGTTTGACACAGCAGTGAGAGGAAAAGTTGTTAGGAGGTTATAAATAATAATTTGACCTCTTGATCAGTTCTTATGGGGGCAAAGCTGCAGAAAAAGGTGTAAGTTTCACTTTGGTGGTGGAGAAGTGTGAGGGTGGGGTGTGAGCAAGTATCAGCGCACATCTTGATGAAGTGTTTAGTCAGAGATTTCATCTGCAAAGGTTTTCCAAAAGTGTCACAGAGTACCAGCCAGAGGGGTTTAGAGCTGAAATTGTAAATACAACAATACTCTGTCTTACACACCATCGACAGATGCAGATAAAAGATGATTCCACTCAATTCAGGTGTATATCAAGGAAAAGAAACTTGTCTTATATTCGGGTTGATATGGTCACTAGGGTAATGACTGAGTTGAATGACAGGTGGATGTACTGTCTCGGCTTGCTTGAAGGTTAAAGACCCTCCCTGGCGCCACCTCTTTACCATTTCCTCTAGCGATCAAAAACTTGTTCGATTTTTAAAAATATGATCATTTCAACAAATCCAATCAACACCAAGTTTTCGAGTCTCTTTCAAATGAGACCTGGCCACCATAACATCTTTTCCTCCAGTTTTGGAGCATGAAGCAGATGCTGAGATGCACAAAGCTGCAGTTCCTCAAATGTCCTGAGTGAGTCAATCCCCACAAAACCCAATATTTAAATTTCTCTGTGGAGTCACCCACTGACTTCTCAATAAAGTTTTGAAACAATGGTGTGGGTGCCTTATTGGAAAAAATGACTACAACTATCTTTTGATCAACCTGGAAACAGGTGAAGAGGCGGAGTTTAGGCTAGCCTTTTGGAAACCTGGCAAACACCTACAACACACCCACCTATATATCAACTCAGAATATACAAATCAATGCACAGGGACTGTAAATTTTTCATTTCAGCTTTTGAAAATGAGAATTTCAAATGGGAGATATTACTTGTTTTTGGAGATAGCCTTTAGTGGACGCTCAAGGAACTGCAGTTTTATGCTGCTCATGTTTCAGTACTGGAGGTTAAATGTCCAACTCTTCAGCAGAAGTAAACCCACTCTTAGCAGGTAGCTTATTTCTTTGTTCATGACAAATGTATGGGGATGAATCTGCACTTCAAGTAATTGATTTTTATTATTTGTCAAAGCAAAGATCCATGCATAAATTTCTGTGATTAAGGAGATAACCAATTTCATCAGCAAACAAGCAGATTATTATCCTAATGAGAGTAAGTATATTATCAGATTTCTGCAGACCAGTACACCTTCACCTACACTTTTATATTATTGTCCATTCTGTCTCATTCGCCCCTTCCTTCTCCCCCCTGTATTTACACGAAACGATCATGTCTGACTCTAGAGAGTCTGCTGTGACATTTAAAAAGCGCAGTGAGGACTGAGCGCGGTCTGGGGTCCAGAGACAGGATTTCCTCTGTAGGCGTCTGTGTGAGGTTCTGATCTAATATTCTCTGTCTCTGCAGGTTCAACCAGTGGGTGAAACTCTCAGCGCTCAGAAGCAAATTGGTGAGTTAACACACACACACACACTCATATAAACACACACATAAACACACATACGAGGAGTATAAAATGCTCAGTGTACAGAAGCTGATGTGGCTGTGATGTTGTTTCAGGTTTCTCTGAAGCTGCGAGGAGAGCAGACGACAGCAAAGCCGCAGCTCATGTGACAGGTGACATCATGACACACGTGCTCAGTGTGGGAGGAAACAAACTAACAGTTTCTATAACAGCGACAGAAGTTAAACCAACAACATACACCCAATGCAATATAGTAAAGAAGTCACTTATCCCAAAAAGTCACTTAACTAAGCAAAAATGTGGTACATTTCTCAAAAAACACAAAAGATAAAAATCGTAATTGTATATATGAGAATATGAAAAAGAGGTCAGACACCTGCAGAGTCCAGGTGAAGGTGCTGCTCTGAAACTTTTCCAAATTCTTAAGTAAATTCAACATGGCTGGACCTTCAGCATGATTCAAGAAACTTTACTTAACAAGTCTGGAAATTATTCAATTTTTCATATACTGCAGGTTTAAACATGCTGCTGACAAAAGGCCAACAATTCTGCATCCAGTCAAACAATCTCCATCAGGGGAATTACAATGCATATGGAGAGATAATGCAACATTTAAAACTCATGCATACGTCTGAAACAAATACAAGAGTGTTAACGGGAATTCAATGAAAAACCATGCTGCAAAACAGATGAAACAGCTAGAGACACAAGAGCAGAACAAAACTACGAAAGAAAAACGATAAAAATCTAGGCTGTGCAACTTAGAGAGTCCAGATAAGCTGCAAGAGAAAGAGAGAGGGAGAGAGAGAGAGAGAGAGAGAGAGAGAGAGAGAGAGAGAGACCAGGCACTGAATTGGTGGTTAAATATGACAGAAGCAGAGCCTCACAACAGGAAGTACCATGATATTGTGGACAGATGTGATTAGAGCAAATGTAAGTGGGGCATTTTGGACAAACAACAGTCAAAGAGCTTTCTTTTTAGATCAGTCACTCCTATACAGACACTGTTTAAAAGACACTGATACAACCTGCACTTTCTGTGACAGGCATCCAGAGACTGTTGTCATTTATGTAAGCTCTGTGAACACGCTCAGCGGTGAAGCATTGGACAGTCCAACCAATGATTTGTTCTTTGTCTGAATGTTTAGTTTAACTTTGGACCTGAAAATCAGGGAGTGTAAATTACTCCTCGTCACTGCAGACCTGAGTGAGGTTTTAGAGGGGCAGCTCAGAGTTTCAGTGAACTAAACAAGAGATTAAAGGTGCCACTGTGCTCCAAATCAGACCAGGATGAGTTGTGTTTATTGTTGTATTTTGTCAATGACTTTTGCATCTGTTTTGAATTTGCATTATTTCTATATTCACAGCGTTTTTCTCTTTGATAGAAGTAAAAGTAAAGGCTGTTGCAGATTGGTTGCTTCTCTCAGTCTCTGTATGCTGTGCTCTTAGAGGTTTTTCCTAAACCTGCTTTCATGACCCTTATCACGTCAGTTTTTACTTCTAGTGATAGTTTTAACATTTTTAAGACTTGTAGTGCAACCCAGAGAGTTGAGAGAGAGAAGTATCCTCCAGTCTTTCAGTGCTGTCATCTTTCCCTCAGACTTCATTATCTCACTGCACTTCATGCTGCAGATGCTCAATGATGCTCTAACTCCGCCTCTCTCTTCCTCTCTCCTCCTGCAGGTCGGATGGGAGAGGATTCTAATCACACTCTGCGCTGGGCCCCGCACAATGGGCGAGGCTTTGTGTCAGGGGGCATAGTCTACAGGTATGAAGATGGAGCACTGCAGGTGAACAAGACAGGAGTATACTATGTCTACTCCCGTGTGGAGTTGACCTTTAAGGAATGCTCAGCTGAGACCTCCTTCGAGCACAAAGTGTTTGTGCGTCGAGCGAGCCGCCCCACCCCTCTGCGACTGATGGAGGCACACAGAGCCGGGTTCTGCACCCATCGAATCAGACTTCCCTGGACCACAGAGAGCTACCTGGGCTCAGTGCTTCAGCTACAGGAACATGACAGAGTCTATGTGAATATTTCCCAGCCCACTTTCCTGAGACGTGTTCCTTACGCCAACTTCTTTGGCCTCTATGAGATCTGAAGACTTAAAACCTGTAGAATTTAAATCTGAAGAAATTTTACATGCAGAGTTTGAAACTGCAGAGTTTACATCTAGGGCCCTGTTAATCAAAAGTGACCTTATCAAATTAAAGCTGCTGCTTTGGATCAAACCTTAAAAATAGACAGTATAGAGGAGATAATGACAAAACTTTTTCCCAATATCAAGAAACTCCAAAGTTTGTTGTTCTGTGTTCAGGCGATGGTCAAATAAAGTCTTACAAAAAGAAAAAGAGGTTTAAAAACTGTTAAGGTATAGTTACCCAGTTTTGTCTTTAAACAGGTAAAATCTCTGGTTTGTGTTGCTAAGTAGGATTAGGGATAATTCTGATCCAAAAACTCAGAATTATCCTGATCCAAGCAGAGGGCTCGATCTAGACGTGATGAATTTTACAAAAAAAAAAAAAAAAAAAAACTAAGGATTTTACAATGACACTGAGTCATTGAATAATTGTTAGGAGTTTTTATGTTGTGTCGATTTTAACGGCCCCTTTGGAAGAAATCAGTTGTGTTATTTTTTACAAGGACCATAACCCACTGACATTAAGAACCATCTCATGTCAAAAATGTGCAGAAGAAGTGAACACAGATTTTCTTTTTAATACCTGTTTTGATTGTTTATGATGACTTTCTGCATGCCGCAAAGTAATGAGCTAGTATATTGAGCTGAAGCTACATGAAGTTATTCAGTCTAGCATATCGACAACTAGACTTTGCAGACTTATTTGGACATCCTTTGAGGATATTTGAGTTTGTGTTTCTGGAATACAAGTGCAGTAGGTAGTAATCTGATCATGTTGATGTTAATCCATTTTTGCTTGGAAAACATCAACATCACCTGATCCTGGAAGAGAAAATAGGTGAATATGAACTTGTGGGCCCTGGATGTAAACTGAGTGTACACGTTTGATGTAAAACCTGCACTGAGGAGCAGAGGATGGAGCTCTAAACTCCTCCATGAACATGAAGAGATCTGTGCCGATTCAGAGCCACAAACACTAACGCTGAGTGAGTCGTAGCATTTTAAATATATTTATTTAATGTGTAAATGTGCTTTTTAAGATGAGAGTTGTTAATGAAGACAATAAAGAGATTTCATTTTCCTGTGGTGAATCTTTCATTCTGATGTCTGAATACAGAGACGTGTGAAAAAACACCCACAGCAGCTCCCTCTGTGACCACTGGAAACTCTTTCACATCATCACTCCTCCTCAGTCCGGTTTCATTTTGATCTCCTCTTTGAGTCCACTTAGCAAGTCTGCACCACGAAGTAGGAGATTTATTTGAAAAAGTGAGAAGAACACTCCCCCTGGTTAGCTGAACTTTAATATTTAACCGTTTAACAGTGCAGGTTGCATGAGTGCAGATTAACACCTATGTGTTACCGCACAGCTCTATGGGGATGCAGCTCTGACGGGTTTCCTTCCTGTGTGAACGTCTCGAGGGTCTTAACTCAAACGGTCTCGGCGTCTTTTAACCCACAAACTCCACGTCTGAACTCAGAGCTGATGATGGTTTCTGTCATTTCAGAGAAAGACTGCCCCGTCAGCATGTTGGTGAAACAGGAGGATTTATGAGGAAACTGCAGACACGAGTTGGTTTATCATTTCAGTTTAGAGAGAATCAAATCAGCTGCAGGAGTGGATCAAACAGAACAATAATGAGAATGAAGTTGTTTTAACTAACATGGAACAATGTGTACAAAAACTTCATTTTGCAGGAGAAGTGCAGCTATTACTTAAACTGCTAACTGTATTGGTTATCGATCAATGTATGGGGTTATTTACATTTTAAACAGACCTGTTATGCTGATCCATATACAGTATCTCACAAAAGTGAGTCCACCCCTCACATGTCTGCAAATATTTAATTGTATCTTTTCATGGGACAACAAATGACTCTTTGGGCTCTATTTTCGTGTCCGCCGGTGATGCGGCGGACAGTGGCGGACCCTGCACAGTGGGAGCCCGGTGCACAGCCAGTTTGGTATTTTCGTAGACTGAGGCGCACCAAGGTCCGTCAAGCTGGGCGTGGTGGCACGGCAGGGGGAGGTGTCGACAGAATCAGCTGGTGCAGTGACTTTTTCGTGCTCGCCGGTGGCGTGAAAAGTGCGCTGAAACCTTGCCGATTCAAACCTGGTCAGCTTTCAGCTCAGGCAGAGCGCAGCTGGTCTAGAGGTATTTTGGTAGACCGGCGGCGTATCGGCATACGTCACCGATGCCTCACCAGCAGGTTTCCGCAGTGTCAGGCATATTTCAGTGCAATAAATAATCATCAACAACTATTAATCTGAGTCAGCACATACATTTAGATCTATATCGATATATTCTGATCTATATCTGATCTGATGAGCGCGTTTGGACACTCCACTTGACCAAATCAACACAGCTGAAACCGCATTAAATTAAATTAAATATCCAGTAAACAGTCACACATGATGAAGTTAACAAGATATTTAATTCGTCTCCCCGCTTATCCTCCTTCTTCCTCGCGCAGCTCGATAGGTGTTATGCCATAGAATGCACCCCCGCCATAGAATGCATCCCCTGCATCCCCTCCACTCAGTCGCTTCTTAAAGTGGAAAAAAATGATCTCATATTTAAAAAAAACAACAGTATTGGATCATGACAACATGTCAAATGGAGCAGTAAACTTTCGTTCTGTTTTTAGGTATTTAAAAAATGCACATACAGAGGTGTACTTGGGAATATAAACTGTACAGTAAGCTGCTAAGGTAGAGAATATTATATTTTCGGGGCAGCAAATATTCCGAATCAGAGGGCTGTTGTTTTCCGCTTATCTGAATAGCCTGAATGAAATCATTAAAGGCACATGCTTTTGAATCAGTCCAACAGTAAGGAAAACTTGGATTATTTTGCCTTGTTATGTACTTTCAACCGCGCTCCTGTCAGGGAGAGCCCTTTGACGCAATGTACAGTAGTCAGTGTGCAGCTTATGTAACGGTGTAAATTTACTGTCCCCTCAAAATAATTCAACACACAGCCATGAATGTGTACACCCCTGGCAACAAAAGTCAGTGCACCTTTAAGTGAAAATGCCCAAATTGGGCCCAATTAGCCATTTATCCTCCCCGGTGTCATGTCACTTATTTGTGTTACAAGGTCTCAGGGGTGAATGAGGAGGGTTTATTAAATTTGGTGTTAGTGGTCCCACACCCTCTCATACTGGTCACTGAGAGTTTCACGTGGCACCTCATGGCAAAGAGCTCTCTGAGGATCCAAAAAGGGAACTGTGGCTCTGCATAAAGATGGCAGCGGCTACCTTAAAACTGAGCTGCAGCACAGTGGCCAAGTCCATACAGCTGTTAAACAGGACAGGTTCCACTCAGAACAGGCCTCGACATATCCAGAGGTTGTCTTTGGAAAATGGACATTTGAGTGCTGCCAGCATTACTGCAGAGGTTGAAGGGTTGGGGGGTCAGCCTGTCAGTGCTCAGACCATACGACACACACTACATCAAACTGGTCTGCATGGCTGTTGTCCCAGGAGGAAGCCTCTTCTAAAGATGATTCTCAAGAAAGCCGGCAAACAGTTTACTTAAGTTTACTTACTTTACAAGTAGACTAAGGACAGGATTACTTAAAACATACCCTGTGGTCTGATGGGACCAAGATAAACTTTTTTGGTTCAGATGGTGTCCAGAGTGTGTGGTGGCAAACAGGTGAGGAGTACCAAGACAAGTGTGTTCTGCCTACAGTCAAGCATGGTGGTGGGAGTATCACAGTCTGGGGCTGCAGTTCATTGCTCAGTCTTTTTTTTTTTTTTGTGAAGGAAAGTCTCGGCCATTTACTCTTCCTAGGGATGAAGGCTCCTGAAAATAGTGAGAAGTTTGTATGTTTTCAGCCAGACAACAGCAGCCACATTGTAGCTGTTTGTGCTTGACACTTAGGCCTAACTGATGACTCCTTTTGCAGGCAAAGGCCAGTACAAACTGGATTTGAGTCTCAACTGTTTCTGAAACTTAAAGCTGTTGATCTCCAGGTCTATAAAGGCCCTCATGAAACTCAGAGCCACTAACTGGAAGACACATTACAACAGCCAATGAATATGAGGGAGGCTAATTAGGAGCTAACAGCTAGCATCAAATGTTTTCTCCAAAAGTATGACCATTGGATCTTTTCATAGCTCCAAAACTGTGTAAAATGTAACACCCCCCAAAAAGGGTTGCTTAAAGCAGAGGCTGAATAGAGCTGACATTAGGGTTTTCACAGACACCAGAATGAGATAAATAATGAGTTCATAGAGCAATTCGTGCTAAGGTCTTGAGGTTTTTCATAGTGACAGAAAGAAAGTTTGAGAAAAACTGAGATTATGGGAAAAAAATAAATAAAGGATCAATTATATCGACCAACAGAGATGTAGACAGCAGCTTTGCCTTTTTTGACTTATCTCTTCTTACAGAACAGCTGCTTTCAAAAAATCCTGGTTTATAGTCATGATTTTAAGACTCTGACAAGTGAAACAAAAAACATGGTCTCTATGCTCAAAAACGTTTTCGTTTTATGAGTCACCAGCAGCCGCAGGACAAAGCTCCACTGTTATCACACCTTTCTACTGTCATAATGATCCTGCAACAGCATATATGATATTGGTGTACGCAGTGTGATTTCACACGACATTACCGTGCTGCAGAAGCATGAGAGTTGAATACACAATGGGAGATTCACACGCACACACAGTGCTGTTCCTCCCTGCCTGCTCCGCTAGCCCACTGTGACCCCGTCTAGCCTCTGTGGCGGCTCTGTTATTACCTCTAATTCCGACACTGTGGTGAGGCGTCTTTGTTCAACTATTGCACCCCTAATACCGAGGGGGAGTCAAAACAGAGGCGTTGAAATCACACCTTTAACTGTCAGTGTGAAAAAAGCTGATGATAAGCCATCTCTGGATGGGATAAGTTCAACAGCAAATGAACATTAGGTCTATCACGTGGATTTGTGTGAAAGTAAAAATGGGAAAGTG